TATTGATCAGTATTATGCCGTGGTGAGAAATATACCAGCACACAGTAAAAGCCAAATAGAAAACTCTTAAATTTAGAAAGGAAGCTACTGTTAAAAAACGGATCAGAGGAGGAATGCACTAGTTGGTTGTCTCTTCGCATGTATTCAACAGATACATTGTATAGCAGAAGAAATCCAAGATCTCACTAGATTATAACTGTACTTCTGAAATCCATTAAATAACATAGAATTGTCAAAAGGCTGTCTACCAATTCAGTTAGTCATCAAAAAGGATATTCACATAACTTGGCCGATCAAGGATGATTTCGAATTCCGTTTAACTCATACGACTCTCAGATTAGATGTCTGAAACACGTTTGGGTTACTCAGTTATATTCGTGGGGGCCCTGGCCATTAAATTGTTAAACCTGTTGAATATGTTCATAAACTAATTGTCACACTGAACTTGACTTGGTAGTGTAGCAGCCTAGAATTCCCCAAAATTACAAACCCATAGCTTTCATCATTTGGTCCTGACTTCCGCTTTGTGAAGGCGACTTGTAAGGCTAAGCTATGAGGCCAAGGATCCACGCCATTAGGCATGCTGTCGTGTTACGTCCGGTTGTTCCTGCACTCACTCTAACTACGTACAAACCACAATAGGTTCCTGAACTCGAAATTAATTTCATAATTTGTACGACCGATATGTTGTTCTGGTTCGGCTTCTAAGAGGTGTTTGGTCAAAGAGGACAAATACACTGGGAGTTAGAAGATATATTACTTGCATTAGCATATAAGCGCATCTTGATTACCCACCGACATTCTTCATCTCTTAAACTGATGGGACTATAACGAAGCTTTACTTTATCTCGGTCAGTTCGTTCCATCTTGTAACTATTCATTTCAGTATATTTTTATTGTATTTATTAAAGGCATTTTTACGATATGTGACTAGACAACCAAACTCATACGCGTTGGATCAACCAACATATAAATCTGTCTCGTGCTATTTCTATCAAATTTAACAAATATGGGGCAGTAATCCATGTACATCCCCTGTCTCCTAAAGTAGTCCAATTTTAACATAAAGGTTATTTACACGAGTATTTCCCTCTTTCCTTATCTATGATTTTGACCCGTAAACAATCAATTCCATTTGTACTAATTTAATTTTGACCTCCTGCACATCAGGTCTACGCGTGGAAGCACTTAACGCCTTTTTCCGTAGTATAAATACTACTATACAGCTTGAAAATGAAGTCGATGAAAAGAAACATTTCTTCGCTGAACAAAAACTGTTTCCCCTTGTCGCATCTACCCCAGAGATGGCATAAGTTGGCAAATGATGTACGAACCTGTTGTATGCGTGTTGAGATATCGTCAGTAATCAATTCGTCGGGTTTGATCTAACTCTTCAAATAAGTAAGTGGTCAACAAGTTCCAACACTTCACTCTTCAACTAGGAGTCGGTGTAGACCAGCCCTGCAGCATCACCTCACATTTCATAAAGGCAAATAGGATGAGAAACTCTCCAAGATTTCAGAAGACTGCATTTCATCAAGATATTCACCTAGAAGAAAATTATCATCTGCATACTGTAAATCAACGACACTGGCCTCTGGTAACAGATTAATCCCTAAATGGCTAAAGTCAACCCGGGTCACATTCATGATGAAGCCAAACAAAAATGGCGACAATGGGCATCAATGACAGCCACCAGTGGTTTTTATCCACTCAGATAACAACTCACCGAATGGATGAATTCAATAAGAGTGCCTGGATTAATGTGACATACTTCCTCGACATTCCCTCGATGGCCAGAAATTGATTGTTACAGTACGTTTCGGTTGACAGAGTCTAATGCCGCCTTTAGGTCAAGATATATAGCAACTGTTGGACTCCAGTGATTACGCCTGTGTATTATAATACGTTCAAGGGTGAAGATTTGACCGATACACCCTCTTCCTAGCCTGAGGCTTGTTTTTCCCGAGCACCACTTAGTCTAAGCGCGATCACTGAACCTAGAACTTTAGGCATAACATTGGTCTGGGATAATCGGTGACGGAACTATTTTTGATTCCCAGACATTACCTAATGCCATGCGTCGATGGCGCAGTGGTAGAATGCTCGCTAGTCACTCAGGTGTTTCGGTCCTCTGCCGACGCACTCGAAAACCTTGCTTAATTGGTAATAAGCCAGGCAAAGATGGAAGGCTGGGCGTGAGATCAGTAATCCCAACCCGTAAAAATACACACCACTGCTACCGAAACTTCAAAGCCCTAGCTTAAGGCCTTATTTGCCACTGGGAACGTAAAAGAACAAGAATAATACCTAATGCCACATTCAACCTACACAACAGTTTGTCAGCACCGTCCTTAAACAACTCTGTAGTCATTCCACCAGGGCTTGCTTGATTGCCTAGTTTCAGATTAGAGACAGACATTGTAACCTGAGTCACTGATGGAAGACCGATGTCTAAATCCCCACCAGGTTTTAGATGCTGGCCAAATTTACCGTGGCCAAAAATACGGTGTGGAATCAAGCTGTAATCAAAAAATCAAAATAAACTGCTCCTCAAAGTGTTCTCTCCTACATCCATTTTTTATCCTGACGGTTAATTAAAGCGCCGTTTTTCAAGGAGACTGTTTCACTTATCATCTGTGTTTTACAACCCGAAACAGTTGTTTGGTGTTACCCAGTGACGATGCTTTTTCCACCTCTTTAGTTTTTGTAACCCGATGCTATGATCTTCTTGAGTTTTATCTACTTTCGCTGCTTTTCATGTACGGAGCCGGCTGATATCAAATTTCCAATGTCTGTCATATCGGATGAAGCAGCAGAAATAAACTGGTATAATTGAACTTTTGGTTTTACATTATTAACAGTCTTTATGACTGTTTCTAGGGCTTCCTCACAACAAGTCTTGTTGTCAATTGCAGTTACATCTTCCCTAAGCAGAGGACTTAGTGTGAACACAGAGAAGACAGTAGTGATAACGATACAGGACCAGACAAATTACAAACACTAATCGCTGTCAGTGGTCTCTTCTATTTACGCGGGCAGCATCATTCGAGCTACAGCTGGTACTAATAAGGGCACCAAACTAAGCCGGAATCGGATCGAGAAACCAAGAAAGGTTTTCAATACTCTGAAATCACTGAAGTGGTCTACATCACGATTCGAATTCGTAGCACCAATGTCAAGTCAGTGCTTCTACATACTTTAGAGACTCAGTGCATCCCTGTCGGCAAAAGCATTTTCAACAAGCTGTCGCAAACTTGTATTAAAAGCTGCCTTCGTTGGTCGACCAGAAAAAAGATATGTAGTGAGGGCCTCTGACAGTGAAGCAGCAAATAACCTATTGTTTAAGCAAAAAAAAATTTGCAAAAAGGAGTGGAGATGGATTATTGGACAGACTGTCGATCGAAAACTCCAGTAGAAAGTGATATTATCCAAGGTTGTAATGGAGGAGGTCATGTGTGACGGAGAAATGAAAGTTTATTAGCAATTATATGTATACCTACAATCAATCAGTGAAAAAAAAAATAATTTAATATCACTTTCTTTATGCATTTTACAAGTTGCACTTTCAAATATAACCATGAGTCATTAGAGTAATTCTCTTGATCCGTTTGTTCGGTAAATTATATTAACACATGCACGATGAGTGAGTAGTGATAAAAGTAACATATAAGGTGGGAGGACCTATACAACACAACTGTAGGAGGAAAACTTAACACAAAATACAATTGTTATTTTTTCAAATAAACTATATTTTGGTGAAAAAGTGTATTCAAACACTTCCACCATTTTCTTCTCCCGCTGCTTTATTTTTCCAGATTGCAAAGTGATAAATCGTGAACAGGGTTAAATAAGGGGAGAAGACAAGGCGCGAAGACTCAATAATAATAATAATAATAATGAGCACCAACAGAATAAAGAAGTACAAACACCCCCCGCCCCCAGATACACACACACACCTAAAAAAAGAATAATACACAGCAAACCAAGAGTCAAAAGCTAACAAATCTCTGGTTGAATCAAATTAAACAAAAGAAGAGGGAGAAAGAATAAAACTAGATCGGATAAAAATCCAAGTCATACATAATACACACCAAAATAAGAAAGAGTATTAGTAGGCGAAACAAACAGGTTTAAGATGAGTGGGATATGATGTGTGTGTGTGTGCATCTCTATTTTTCTTTATGAGTTTTTTTGTTTTGTTTTTTTTTACTGGGGGAACAGTATACACGGGTGAAACACACGCTTTAAAGTTAAACAGTATAACATCTCATTATTCGAAGAGTGATCAAGTTACTACTTGATATAATTTGAGTGTAATGAGTGAGTGACAACACGGTTAGTAGAACGAAGGATGGAAGTTTTGAAACGAAAAAAAGAGAGAAAGAAATATGGACAGGGAATAAAGGATATCAGACAAAATTCTAATTCGATAACGATAATAAATAGATAACAGATTACAAAAGATGGTATATAAATACACAGGCTATTTAATCAATCACACAGAAAAAATAGACAATAGTAAGTTAAAGGCGTTAGCATGACACAGTATATATGTTATTCCTAAATCAGAGATATACACACACGTATACGCAAACACTAACAGACAAACAGACAGAGAGAGAGAGAGTGAGAAAGGAGGCCGCCTCGACAATAGGAAACAAAAGGCCAGTAATTTACTTCTATGATAATCAAAGTAAACATGTATTCATATGTTAAATGAAGTATACTACCTATATTACTATTACTGCTGCTAGTACTACACCACTGCAGTACATCCGCATGGCATTTGTCATGCAGCGGTCATATTCGTTGTGATGAATATATATATATATATACATATATGTATATATTCCTTCTTTGTCATTGGATAGACTAATTACAGGGAATTATAGAAAGACAGAGAGACGGCCTTAGCGCACGCGCTGAACTGACAATAAATGGGATGGGATGAGGGGAGAGTGGTAAAGAAAGAGGGAGAGCAAAGAGCGTATCCAACATCATGTTACATATACAAATATATTCATATCATTATCATCTCGCCGAACATAACGCTTATCTATCAGCCATTCAAGGACTTCTTTGATTAAGCGTTTCGAGGGAACAAATTGAAATCTTAACAAATCTACTAATTCTTGATACAATTCATTATGGTGTAAACGTTTACGTGTCTTCAATATTTTGATTATGCCTTCTTGAGCTCTTAACTGGCGTAGTTCAACTATCGCCATATTCTCCTCTTCACTTATTGTCTCATGAGTCAGTTGCAGTCGACCGATTAGATTGATCCTGCGCCGATTTTGAACTTTACCCATTTTCCTAGAGAAAATAAATCAGTGAAACACAAGAGACATTAGCGATAGGAATTGTTGTTACCTTGAAACTATAGACAGAACCAAAACGACATTATCTTGTACGTATATATGTATGTCTGAATCGGGCGATAATTTCCTCGCCTTATAGTTTGAATGCAATTTCTAATAACAATACCCGAATGAGGAAAACGAAACTGCATAACTCATCTGTTTACCCTGACTGAGCGCTGAAGCCTAGCTAGTCACGATACACCAGTGTGAAGTCCTTAATGAATAAAAGTAAATCATTTGTTGACAAAACATCTGATATTCTGAACACCAGTCGTATATAGTGGCAATCCACTTTTTGTCTTCGAAATGTCAAGAAAGTGGTAGGGATAGGGGGGGGGGCTATGAATTCTCGTCTATGGTTACAGAACGAAGTGATTGAGTGTGTTTGAATGAGACCACTTATGTCAATAGTGCAGGACTTATCAACCTGAGAGTACGAAGCAAGATGAATGAGTAAATCGCAAATTGGAGCACTCTATACCGTTATATTCCTCTTGGTAAGTTACTACACGATGAATAAAAATTGATATCCTCTTCAATAACATCTCTGCTAGTTTAATTCTGGAGAGTCAGTACAGTTAAACAAAAATCAATGGTATGGGAAGAAGAGGACGACATTTTCGACAGACAGGAAGCCCAGTTATTGAGCTTAACAACCTTAAACTACTAAATAATGTACTAAAAAGCGAATAAAATCATACAATACCAACAAGTTTAACCATTAGTAAATGATGCGGTAGCCATCGTTGAGGCTGACATAGTACGAAGCATACTTGTGTATTATTCACGTGTCAATGGAGAAAACCAATATCAACTAGAGCATACCGTAGCTCAGATTACAGAGCACTGGGCTAACAAAATTCGGAGGCCGCTGTTTCGAATCCTAACACGACTCAGGCTTTGATTTCAGTGCCGGAAACAATCACAGAAATGAGGAAAGATTGGATGTGAAGCTAGCCACTACATTCTGTAAAGACAACAACACCACCACCAGTAGAACCTCAGAGGTTCGAAGTTCTATACTCCACCCGGAATGCGAGAAATGTAAAAAAAAAAAATAAAGATGTGATCGGTTAGTTCATTAAAACTGTTTTGCGTGCGTCTAAGGTCAGTTGAACAATTCATTGCATAACTGAAAGACATTTTGTAAATGAGAGCAGTTTTGAAAAAAATTCTCATTCAGTCTAATCCATCTATAATTTCAGCTACCAACCAGATCGTTTAAACTAGACTTAGGTAGTCCCAAAGATGAAATCCCTACACATGTATATAATATAAACTTACGTATTTACAAATTTGGTATTGAGCCAAAATTCTGTTTCACCAGTGAACAGCTTTTCAGAACCAACTTTAGGGGAATAACAAATAAGTTGTTGTTCCAGTTTGGGATGTTCACACAGCGACTAAAACATTTTTTTTAAAATAACAGGAAATGATTACAAACAATGCCTGTCTATGTGTTAATAATTATAGATAAGTACGACAAAATCACTTGACGAGTATATATATATATATATATATATATATATCACATAAGCGTACACACTGTAGTGAATTATGAGAAGACCAGAGCTCATTGTTTCCAACACTAGAGTGACATTGACTGTGATGATAATGAGTTGTGGCGATCAGTTACTGTTAAAGGTAGTATCCCAAGTGGTTGTGGCACCACAGAGAAGCCCACATTTCAATAAGGTAACGTATCGTTTTGGTGTTAACAATCATCTGATATATAAACACCTCAACTAGCAGAAAGGATTGGGTTTACTTGTTTTTTTTTCAATAAACTGCCCATCTTAATCTGAAAGTTGGTAGGCTGATGATTAAGTACGATCAAAGAGCACAGTAAAACATGACGCATACTGCACACTTGAACTGGTGTTCACTTAGAACTTGCATCATTGTAAAAAAACTTCTCCCAATAAAAGTAAAATAATAAAATAAATTGATTTCTACTCCTCTTGAATCGGAGATGGAGGAACACACTGTTACCTACCTACCTTAATGTGACCAGACAACTTTTATAAACAATAACTTTATACAATCAATATTCTACACTTTCTGTCTCCCAATTATCTCTCAAGGATAAGGCTAATACAATATTGAGTAATGTACAACAAAAATATCATCTTAAAAAGTAGGAATGAATTGTACATATGTTGGAATACAGTCCTAAATTAAACACACCCATAATGTTCGACGAAGGTCAGTATCCTGTAGACCAGTAGCAGTAAGTAGGCAGTCCAATCGAAGATGTTGATTGTATCTTCGATTCCAGGCGCACAGAACTACAATTTGATAGGTGGTCACTTCGAATTCAAATCGACCATTATCACTTGTGTATGCCAGTACACCATGGGAAAGATGATGTTGCCATAGGAGACTTCGACCTTGATGCTTTTGTCGGTAAAAGTCTTCAATCTGAAAACCAGAGAAAATGTTTGTTTTTAAATAAAAACAGGCTACTAGACAAACAGATTTATCAGTGGGTTGTTTAGTTGAACCTAGATATCTAGATCGAAGCACGTGGAGTGGTTCAATAATCCAAGTGTATCTGATTACGTCATCTGAAGGATGATATGGACGCATATAACCATCCTACAGGAATCGAAAAGTGGAGAATTTCACATAGCGATACAGGCACTTGTAGCACAACACTAGCTACACTTACCACCATCAACAAAGGTAAATGCAGGCAGCGGCATCAACAACTGCAAAAGAATTCTACACATGAAGCAACCTAATTAAACTGAAGATGTTAAAGTGAAACACGCAAATAATGTAATACTCCATAAGGCTTGCTTGATGTGCATTTACTTAATTAACCGAGTGTTTTGCCAAAATCTTAATGATGACAACAAATGAAAGAAATATTTTTCCCGTACGAGAAAGAATTATGGGTGAAACACTTTTCCTATAGGTGGTGGTGGTGGTTAGGAGTGAGATGCAAACTATGCTTTTCATCTTATTTGTACTTGTATGATAGTAAGTGCTTTACCCAATGAGACTCAAAAATCAGTGGATCATGTCTTGTGTCGCACTAACTCTGATATCTGTGGGCGAAAACCAACAAGTTGATAGGAGAAGCTCCAAGTGAATACAGGACATCAAGTGAACATAGAGAAGACACAGGGTGATGAAGATATTAAAATAAAAAAATTTTACTGACGTTTCGCTATTTAATGCTGCTAATAGCTTTATCAAAGTATTAATAAACTGGAATTTACAAAATCTCAGCATATATATAACAAAGAGTTAAGGGTTGAGAAAATAGACTTAGGTCAAGTTAAAAGGACGTAGTGAAAGTCAAAATGACAATGAAGATCACTAAACCAAATATCAAAGGTAACAGTACGTCTGTTATAATATCAAAACAATATTTACTAACTTGATCATCGTTCGTCTGTCTGGGGTCATTTTTCGTTGTCAAGTTGGTCAATTGGTAAAGATTAAAAAATCAACTGTCGATTGTTGGACTCGATCAGTGTAAAATTTAAAAGCAGCGTGTGTTTACATAGTGAACTTGCATATCACCTTCGTGCGTCGGTGGCACAGTGGTTAGGACTCTCGCCGATCATGCACATGGTCCGGGGTTCGAGCCCGCACCGACGCACACCTGATATCTATGGTCGGCCTGCAAAATTTGGGCTACCGATATCCATGCTGAAAATTCCATACTTGTACCGAAAATACAGTGTGGAATCAAGCTGTAAATCAAAAATAAAATAAAAAAATAAGATATCCGGTCACCACCATCACTACCACTAACAGCAACAACAAGTACCAACCACTAACAACGGGAGAAATTTTGAGCAAATCACCACTCACAATTATCTAGGCAGTAACGTTTCAACTACAGGCGGCATCCATAAGGATGTCAAAACCAGTCAGGATGGTAAAATAAAGATACACATTCACTCCTATGAATATTAGTCTGAAAATCTGCAGCAGTCAGCATAAAGAACAAGACCCAAATCTTCAACAGTAATGTCACTGCTTCCATATGATTCAGAGACTTGACGCATAACCAAAGGCATTTCCAACAGTCTGATGAAGACTTTTATCAACAACTGTTTTCACTCCATACTGAAGATTAGATAGTTGGTCAGAAAAGATGACCAACAAGGAACTCTCTAGGAAAGGACCAACCAAGAACCTATTACCCAACAAATAGGTCGAGGGACATGGAGATAGATCCGACGCACGCTGAAGATGCCGTTCAGTGGGACCACACGCCGGGTACTCGAGTAGAACCCCAGTTGGTAACGACAGGTTGGGCTTTCAGGGATGACATGAAGGAGATCGTATGAGAAGATGAAAGCCTATGGACAATAGTGGAGCCAGTTAAAGATGACTGCAGAGAAGAGGAGGAAATGGCGATGTGCTGCTGAAGCCCTATGTTCTCCATGTTTGTTAAGAAAAGAAAAAAGCATCTATATAGAAATAATTACTCGGAAAGTACAACAGGCAAATCAAACAATTCGTTCAGCGCATGTTTTCAATCACATCAAGTGAATGAATAATTTCCACCTAATACACTGAACAATACATAATAAGATACCAACAACTAATAGAAAGCACCAGTCATAAAAATATGTTTTAACATCTGGAAAAATTGCGCCATACTCTAGTTACTGAACTTCCTATAAACTCGCGCCAAAATCAGAGCCGAGAATGACAGTACACAACGTGACGTAACTAAGGCGAAAATCCACAAGAGAAAGTAGTAGAATAGGGTAACGGTCAGACTAACGGAGCCCAAAAACCTAGCAAAATCTACATTGGTTGACTTACATAAGATAAGAAGTCTGGAAATAGTTCAGTGATTACACTAGCTACATGCAATTACACACAACTATACAATAGGATGGGATAAGATGAGAGTTCTAAGATCTAATATAACAGGGTGGAGGGAAAGAGTGATAACGGAAGCTTTGTTTATCGAATCAACTGAAAATATGTGCAATAGGAAAGATTCAACACATGTTTACCTAGACATCTGGAAACGTCGACCATCCCTACGATGAATAGGAAGCAATGAAGAAAGTCATTAAGCGAAAATCTCGAAGTTATGATCATGGACAATAAATTGTGTTTGAAACGTCATCCAGTAAATGATACTGTTTCACTGTGTGAACAAATTAATATAGAATTAGGTAAAAATTGATTGATGAATCAGTGTGCAATTCAGCACAGAAATGCGTCAGTTAGAGTTTTCAGAGTTTGCGAAGCGTACAAAAGAAAGCAGACAGACACGTAATGATTTGTGTGTCCGAGAGAGAAACAATAACTCGCTGTTGCTGTTTGAATGGAACATGAAAAGAAATACATAAGTCTTGGTGATGTCATCTAGATCCCCAGCTTTCTGAGGACCTCGGCCAGGTTCAGACCACTAATCCAATGATTTGGCGAAATCTAACTACAGTTTAAAAAACACACAGAATTAACAAGCTGTCCACTTTTTGGGTAAGAAAAAATTTTCAACAAACACAAGTACTTAATTGGTGGATGGTGACTAGCAGTGGAATCCAGGATGCGCATTTCGTCCTATTTGGGACTCGTCACTGGATGCACCTGCATTCCCCAGAGAGTGATGATGTTCCCACCGAGGCTCGAACCCAGTGTCCATAGTTTCCAACGGCAAAGCGTTGGGCCATTTGAGCACTTCGGTTCAATCAATCGACGGGAAAATATAAAATCCAATTAAATAATTAATATGACCTGTCGCACAAGAGAGATGTGACTCTCGTTGCCCAAGTGGTCCATTGGATAACGCTTTGGCGTTGGAAACTATGGACACTGGGTTTGAGCCTCGGTGGGAACATCATCACTCACTGGGGAATGCAGGTACTACCAGTGACGAGTAGCCAAATAGGACGAAGTGCGCATCCTGGATTCCACTGCTAGTCACTATCCACCAATTAGATTCTAATTAAATCCCAAGACATCGTCGAAGCATCTGCACAAGAAGCCGACATACCAACCTAAGACCGAGCACTTCGGTCCAATCAATCGATCAGAAAATCTGAAATTCAACTAAACACAAGTACTGATTTATTATTGGGAGAGAACTAGAAAACTATGGGGAAGTTTAGTGGTAACAGTCCCTCATAATAAAAACAATATTTAAAACTTTACAAATTGATTTTTTTAATCTGGATAGTGTGAAAATAACTGAAGCAATGATAGGAGGGTGAGGAGGGCGGGATAACCAAACATTTAACACGAACAGAAGCACAATATTTTAGTTCTACGTACTATTTGCTTCCTTCGTAAAACTGAACCAGTAGTCAACCAAACAGTAAGGGAAACACATTGGTCAGTCCTTCTTTTTTACCTAAACACAACAGTATGTAATGATACTAAAATTTTCACTTCTGTTATGACCACTCAACAAAATCAGTAAAGTTATATATATATATATATATATATATATATATATATATATATATATATATATATATATATATATATATATATATATATATATATATATATATATAACACTTTACCTGAGGCAAGAAGTCTTCTAATTCAGCTGGCAGTGATACAGATGACTGTGGTTGTGGGGATAACAGCCATGCACCACCACTCAATATCTTAATAGTGATGATGTCTAAATTCAATGACGGTGTATTATTAGAAGTAGAAGGACTATGTGGACATAGTTTAAACTTGTCTTTGAATTCTGTAGTCAGATCGTGTGATATCTTGATATCCTGAAACATTCTCCCAAGTTTATTGATTTGTTCAGCAGGCATTCCAACTTCCTGAAAATGGAAAAATTAAAAATTACCGTTTCAACAAAAACTGGTAAACACACACATACACACACATCACAAACAGTATCAACACATAGTTCAGCCTTATGTAAAATAAATACGATTCACAGGTTATGGATGTTACTAGGTTGTGTCAATGAAACAGTCAGGTAATGAAATTGAAAGCATGATAGATTGTATATTAATTAGATGAATGACAGGAGATGCTAGAAACATTAGTATCACAGCCTATAATTTAGTGGTTTATCAGGTGAATATCCATCCACTATTTAGGCGATATTAAAACTTCAAGTACAATTGAAATCTTCATTTACCATTCTAAAAACACAACAGTGCTTTTCTCTTCTCCGTAAAGAAAGAGATCCTCGTAGTATTTGCTTTGATTACACTGCATCGTAGTACGTTGACTAATCTGAAGATAATAGGCTTCAACAAAACACAAGAATTTCTTGAAGTTAATTGCTCACAGCAGAAGATAGTGTGAAACAGCGCATAGATGAGATAATTCCACTGAGTGAACTAACTATGATATTATATAGTCTCCAGAACATTTGATGAAATTACTTCTTCCCTGTATTAAGTGGAATATGAAATTTTTATCTTACCGATAAATATCACCTGCATCTTTACAAAGGAGTATAACACATATGGCACTTTTCATTGCTATTAGACGCTTAAAGAGAGACACACACACCTTTCGTGGTATAGTTTTACAGCTTAAAAAGCATCTATACGTCATGAGCTCATGAGCCCAAAGACGTTCAGTTATGTGATATCGATAAGTATTTAAAAACTTTAAATTTCTGTTTCAAGGACTATTATGGGTGGAGATATTGATACACTCCAAGATAACTGTGTTGAACGTAGACTAACACTGTGTTTTCTCGGTATGCATAAATATGTATGCAATTCTAACTGAGTGATCGATTGATTGACTGATTTCAGCATAGAACTTCCCACAGGAGTGCAGCAGTTCAAGTTGCCACACTCCATGTTTCAAACAAAGTAAGACAAAAGAGAAAAAAGAAAGAGATTTAAAACAACAACAATAAGCGGGAAATTGAGAAAGAAAGAATAGTAACATGGGAAAACATGACGGGTTAGTGGTTTTGGGATATCACAAAATTACTCATCGCATTATGTCGCTTAGCATAGGAGATAGGGAGTAAGCATCTGCGGTCAAGGACGCTAGCCTTTTCACATCTTCCTTTTTCAGTGGCCATGCCTCTCGACAATAAAGACGGATACAGAGAACTATTGAGCAATACACACTCCCTTCCACCGATAGCCGGATATCACGTATACACTGGAGATGACGTAAGTTAGCAAATGCCACATAAGCTTTTTGCAATGGCCCCAAGATATAGTCGTAGTGAGTTCATTGGGGCTGATGCAACTTCCTAAATAAGTGAAATGGTCAACACGCTCTACCACTTCTTCATTCCTACCTATCTTTAAAGCTAGGAGTCGGTGAAATCCTTTCATACAGCATCATCTTACATTTAACAGGAGAGAGCCGCATGCCAAACATTCAAAGACTGATGCTCAAGATGTTTAGAAGACGTTTCATATAGGCAGACAATATTATCCACCTACTCTGAGTCAACAAGACTGTCCCATGATAACAGGTGATTCCCCAAGCCGCTAAAGTCAGTTAGAGTCAATCTCATTACTACATCTATAACAAATTCAGACGGAAAAGGGAACAATGAGTATCCCTGACGGACAACACTGGTTTTCACTGCTTCAAATGATGACTCTTCCTAAACTCTTACACCGCTGCTTGAAAGTTCAAGTAGGGTGTCTTGATCAATGAGATGTATTCTCTCGTCATTCCCCTCACGACGAAACACTGCCATAGCGCCACTCAGTCGACGGAGTCGAATTCTGCCTTCAAGTTGAGAAATGTGGTAATTGGTGGACACCGATAAGTATTCTCAAGTTCCAGAATATATCAAAGGGTGAATATATGATCAATACACCCTCCAGCTGATATAAAGCCTGCCTGATTCTCTCGTGTTTGTTTCTCCCGAGCACCAATTAGTAGTTTACACATGATTATTGAGCCTAGAACTCTAGATACCATATTAGTCAAGTTTATTACCCTATGATTATCACAGGAAGACTTGTCACCCTTTTGGTATACTGGAATAATCAATGAATTATACCAGTCTAATGGGACTATCTCTGGTTTCCGGACACTGACTAATGCGTTAGTCATCGCTGTCCTAAAACGCCTATGGAATCACTTCAGTGGTTCCAGTTTCTTGGCTTTATTTCAACCTCAGTTAAGGATGGAGGACCTGTGTCTATATCTCGTCCAGGTAAGTGTTGGATACTGGGCAAGTTGGGCGCGGCTGTTAAACTGATCCTCATATAGTCCATTCCAACGCACCATCGTCTATCCTGAGAGGTAATTATGGCGCCATTTTTATCGGAGATCATCTTACTAATAATTTGCCTTTTGTTACCTATCACCAAAGCCTGTACCACCTCTTTCACTTTTGTCGCCTACCATTGTTAATGATCGTTGTGAAGATTTTTTGTCAGTCCACGTATGAGCAGCTTACGCTCCTAATTATATTCTGAGCTCGCTGAGATCAGTCTTCTAGCGCCTATCAGTTCAGATGAATTAGTGGAAATCCACTGGCTTTTAGTATTTTTTGGTTTTAGGTTGCCAACAGACTTTATAGTTGTATCTATATTTCATTTTCTCATTCTAGTCCTTTAAGTTCCCAGTGGAACATAGGCTTCAGACTAGAGCTTTTAAGTTTCGGTATCAGCGGTCTTATTTTTGGAGTGGGGTTGCTAGGCACCCACCCAGCCTTCACTCTTTACCGGGCTTGCTGTCGGCTTAGCGACGTTTTAAAGTGCGTCGTCGACCGGGGACTGAACTTCGGACCTTTGGCGTGACTGGCAAGCGTTCTATCACTGAACCACCGACGCACTTGTATCTACAGCTGACTAGATATTGTACAAGGCTATGATGGAGACTGACAGGTTAGGAGACGTCTCTCTTTGTGGGATGAGTTTTCAACGTAGTGTTTTGCAAAACAAGTGTAGCAGTTCACATTGCCGCACTCTTCATGGCACACAGACGTAGGGGAGAAAATCAAAAGAACTATGGTGAACGGAAATGTACAAGATTAAGAAAAAGTAGATGGACGATGAGAATTTGATGGATCTGGGAGATCAAAAAAGTGAATGCATTCGCTTCATTGAGAACGATTCTGCGTGCTATATCACCAACAGTCTTTAACCACTGATTCTTGGAGACTTGAGAGCCCCAGCCAAGAAGTCTATACTCCCTCACAATTCACACAGAGTTAACTTCACTTGGGCGATAAATCTTAACTTTTTATTACTCCTCAAAATAAGCCTAACTTAAACATACTGTTAAGAAGCAGTCGTCATAAGGAACAAAACTGAATCGTAAAACCGGATGTGTACAATTAAATCGCCAATATTTTACTAAAACATAAAAATCCCAAAGAACATCAGCAAGAGTGGCGCCTATTTTAATTCATTCAATAATCAGTGTTCAAATAATGCCGGAAAACTAACTTGCCTCCGTCAATTACAACAAAATACTATAACTGACTAATCTGTGCGTAAGTGTACCATTTTCCCAAAAGAAAACAATGTAAAATGTTAGACAAGATTAATTTAGACATACTCTTAAACGTTCAGCCATTAATTCTTCCATTTCATTATCAGCTGACGTTTCTAATATTAACCGTCGGGTAAGATGAGATTTATGAACACGCATAAAAATATCTTTGCTATTCACATATTTCAGTACTAGTAGAACATTGCGCAGTTTTTGTTCAATTTCATCTGTAGTTAAACGACGATTGGTTGGTGATTTACGAAGCAGCATATCACAATAGGATGCCAACAATTCAGGACAACGAGATTCCACACGTGATACTCCACTTCTGTAATGATAAGAAAAAAGAGGGGGGGAATGCAGTTCATCGTATGGGAATACTTGACACTAACATAGTATTTATTGAATTTCAGAGGATGATCGTCATTTAATAATACATTAGAGAGGTTTTGTACATCTTCTTCAAAGGTGTCTTCTGTACATTTATGTATACATACATATATGTCAGACGAAGGTCTCCATCAATCCAATCAGATCTCAAAAAACAAAAAAACAGTTTTTATCTTTACCGTTCAAGAGCAATCACCAAAGTCTGATCACTAAACAAAGACTCAAGGTGGTATTGAACAGAACTTAATATGCAGCTTAACTCCTTTTAATAAAGGAGACGAGACTTATATTGCCCTATGAAGCCTCATAGCACCCGAACATGTATTTGTGGTCACACATACATACACAAGACCCATTGATCCCTTCTGATTAGGGTCACAGAATGTATTTCTATGTCGCTGCAAAAAATAAATTAAATCGCTTGATTCAATTAACTCCCAAAATAGACGTGTCCAACGTCATCTGACGCAAAGCACATCATAGACACAGGTCATAAAGTTGACTTCAATAGTAGCCTGAGTGGTTATTCATTCAACTTGGTTTGATCGAAGAACCGTATGTTGAGAAGGCATTAAGCAAACTTGACAACTTTCTCACAGTTTGTAATCAACCTTCACTACAGTAATTCAAATCGATATCGTTGGCAAGTATCACTTCTCACTGCATGTAAATAGTCTTCAAATACTCACTGTTTAGTGTTAAATGATAGTGAATCGGGCTACAGTGATTATGGATTATAACAACAAAAGTGATAATGTCAGGAGTAGTTTGCCAACTTACCGAACAGATGTTGGAATCTCGGTTACAAAGACAGATGTATTATTTACAATGTCCTGATATGCTTTGTCACGGGCAGTTAGAAAGTGCGGATCGTTGTTAAAAGCTTCTTTGACCATGTGTGAAAATCGGACATAGAGGTTCAGCAATCGACAGACATATTTATCTGCATCCTAAAAAAGACATAATTGAATGACCCTCGGTAATATACAATAAGATATCCAAAAAGATAGTTGTCAAACAGAAGCTAGAAAAAGTGATGAGAGATACACGTTGCTGGTAGACACAGTCTTCTACGCCATAAAAAATGAGTGACTAGATGGGAACCTTTTCAGAGATCTGTGGGATGCTTTACTATTTTGTTTAATGGACGGGTCTGTTAACTGTGTCATAACCACTTTTGCGCAAAGATTTATGAAGACTCCTTTTCTCACCGTCTTCTGCAAATTCGAGATGGGATAGCTCTTCCTCTTGTTGTAAGTCAACACCTAAGATGCCGAAACCAACAAATCGCATAGACAGTATACATCCTTGGCATGGTGTGCCATATCTGTCGTCAATATCATTAGAATTATTACCACTGCTTAATAAAACCTCAGTAACCAGTGTCCAATCATGTACTGCTAACAAGATGAATGCCTGAACTGATTCATAGCCATCGAATTATACCTAATCACTATCCCAAATGTATTCCTGTTGAATTTCATTGATAACATACGTACCAGGATAAAATAATACCTGAAAAAGGCTATCATACAAAATTCTGCTACAATCAACAGTTTTCTCAAATGCAGTGGATATATAATTTCATTGTTAAAACGTATCCCGAGAGTTGGGGGTCTTAGCAACACTGTTTTTCCAGAAAGTAGGCACACTGGATTTACTGCTTGCCAAATCCATGTGTTTGTTCAAAAATCCCTCCGGATATCCATTTCTACTTGTTGGATCACAAATATTATCGAGTTCTTCGTTAAGTGTTTTTATCACGCACAAATACCACCAAACAAGATTTCGTTTGCATTGTACGGGGATTATACTCAAAGTGGTAGGTTGGTGATGTAGGCTTACGGTGTTTGTTCGTAACGAAATTCTGAACACTTTATCCACCTTGGTTAGGCAAGGGAGTGAATAAAGGGGTTTGTCAGAGGTTATCTCACTTCAACTTGCTCTGAGTGTCTTCACCCTGTTTATGTATTACCACATATACACACAAATATTTAGCAATGCCTTGATGACATTTAAAATTTGATAAAAAGACATTTCGCCTTTCCCAATTAATTTCCATGCATAGCATAACAACAAAACACAGACAACAAAAAGAAGAAACGGAAGGGAAAGAAAAGTTTGAATAATTCTCCCCTTTGAGTGGGCAGGAGGGAGGGAAGTGAACAAAACAGAAAAAAATCATTGTGTCACATTCTGCACACAAGTGACTAATTAAATAAGGAATGAATTCAGTAGTTTTGCAATTTCATTCACTTTTTCCAAAAATGTCAAATTGTCAAACTAATCCAAAAGTAATAATCAATTGACATTTGAATGCTATGTGAATATGTCATATGGATCCTTATTTTTTAAATTTTGAGGAAGTGCATGTGAAGCAGTAGCTGCATCTCGCAACAGACAGAAGTTGTCCCTGATTATCTCAGCCATCGGTAGCAAAAAGGCCTGCGTGAAATATGTCACGTTGATTAGCAACATAAACAGACGCCTAGGACGTTCTGCATAGTACTTTAAGAAGGAGTGTAGTTGATCAGCAGTGCTAACATCCAGTACCAACAACTACAAGGACCCATGGCCGGTTAATGCCAATTCACCAAACAAGAAGATCCGAAAGGATACACTAAAAGGTCGCTGATCCAGACGACTCGCCCTAGGTTCTTTCTAAAAAACGCGGTGAGACTCCAGTCAGGGAACTGACTGAAGTTTTTGGAAAAGTATAGGAAATGAGTGTTTCCCCCTGTGTAATGAAGCTATTATTGTACCTATCTTTAAAAACAGCATATGTTATACATGTGACAATCATCAACATATTAGGCTACTACTGGTTCTGTCCAAAATACTGGCTGTTGTTATGTTGCGAAGGATTCATAAAACGCCTCAAAAACTGATTCGAGAAGAGCAGGCTGAGTTTCGTTAAGGTAATTGCAGAGTAATGTTCTTTGGGATTTTTTGTTAGAAATAAGTGTGTCTGAGAATTTCGTCCCTAACTTTGCTACTGATGACATTCTGGAGACAATCCGGAGTGAAGTTTCTTGACCTCGAGTATGAAGACCATATCATCTTACAGGGTGCCTGAATCGCATTTATATAGATGGTGATCATATTTGGAAGTATGGTATGTGGTTTGCACCTAAGAGAAAGGTTTGTTGCAAGATTGACAGATGCCTGTAGCTGGAATCAGTCTTGCAAGTAGGTCGTAAAAACTAGTCGACAACTCCATTGATCGAAGTTATTATGTAGGCGCTAGCAGGAGTATGGTGGATGAGATCTCCAATCATATTGTGAAAACCGAAAAAAGAAACGCCGACCTGTTCAACTTCTGGTGTCATTGTGGCCGGAGCCTAGTCTTCAAAAGTCGTGTTTATAATATTCAGGGGACCATGCGGTGTAATAGCTACACACTCCAATTAGTTGTGTTTTCTGAGCTGGTTGGTTTAATGAAGCTGCCCATACTGATCTAACATGGATCAGTAAACAGTGAATTTAGTCAATCAATATCAAGTAGACAAGCAACTGGTATTTTAGTCATCGCTGACACAAACATGGTTTGAAATTTATATCAACTTCTTCCTATAAATTACTAGGAAAGGTTCTAAAGTTGCTAAAGGTTTATGGCGTCTGACAGCTAATTTACATTCAATGTCTTCACGTCGCTACAAAAGTGAAAATGTAAAAATGCGGATGTCCAGTGTCAACCACCACAATGGAGGAGATACAGAGGATCACCTAGGATAACTTGGAAACTTTGACCACAAACGAGCGGTGTGCATGTACATCTCAAAGGAATGAATGGTGCAGAAACTATTTTGGCACCTGACGACTATGGAGAAGCAGTTTCTGAATTTGCTCTCTGCCACCTTGTGGAGTAGACGTTAATTCAAAGGATGGGGAAGTATTAGCTTAAAACAGTCATTTGCTCTAGACAGGACGTTCAAGAAGAACCCTGACCCACACACGAAAAATGAGATAACTGTGAAAATTCTAGGCTTATTTGTTCTTGGTACATGCCAATTCAAAAAAAGTAAGAAGCACTTTCAACACACTCATGTTCATACATTTAATAAGCCCGGCTAGAACACTTATTTTATTATTATTATTATTCCTCTTCACTTCTTCCTAATGCATACTTCCCTTTTCATATCCAACCAACTTATTTGGATATTTCTAACACCCTCACAATTTAAAGCTTATAGGCATGAACTAGTTGAGTGATATAACAATATGAAATGAGCGTCAACCACTAAATATTCAGAGAAATTTAACCTTAGGTTTAGCGGGGTAACCAGCACCACTTTACATAGTGTGATGCCTAACTCAGCATTACTTAAACTGTGTTTCGTATTAACATCTCTTTTATAAATGTTTTCTCACAGCCCAGTAGAGTACATACTTGACATAGTCAGTGTACACCAGTCGTAAAAAAAAATATCTCAGCCATCTGGGATCTCTTCCGCTCATAAGCCTACAAAATATCTTCGTTTGGTTTAATCTAGGCCAAAAGAAAAAAAGCACGAGGTCAATTCCAATGCCATCTACAAAACACACTAAAGCAACTGTAGAAATTTCTATATTTATCAGACTGTCTTCTTTGTTGTCGTCGTCTTTATGAAGTCCAATGTCATGACAAAAAATTTGCTAAATTCGATTGATGTAGGTGTACAAATCTGCAGAGAAATTCAATTGTTAAAGATGCACAAATCGTGGAACGAGTAAATATGGAGAATGCTATAGCACATGGCGTATCCAAATCAAACGCGGTCAACAGACACACTAAAAGTGCCCCCAACCAACCCCAGTCAATGAAAAATGAAGCAACAAAAAAGGTTCAAATCCAAGTTGACTGACGAAAATGCATCAATTGAACGGTGGCAACACGACTGCAGAATTAGTCAATCATTCTACCCAATGTCAGGAGGATAAATGATTAAAACGTGGAATAGAAAGACTTGGGGGTAAAAGTGAGCAGTGTGTTCACCTATTTATTTAAAAAATAACTGGGTATAAGATTTATTTGTAAGAAAACCGAAATATATAAGTGCAACAACAAAAATACGAACTAACCTTAAGCATAGTCTCTGCATTCGCCCGTATATCTTCAAGACCAGTCTGTCGAATATAGTCTTCTAGGAGAACCAATAAAGGATCAATTTCTTGAGGAACTCGATTAATCAGTTCATAGCACAATCTTAGTTGATTTGTATCCTCTTCCTGCAATAGCCTCGGAACTTCCGAAAGCAAGTGATCCTAAATATATATATTTAGAGTAAAAAGACAAACTATTGTCCAATCTATACTACTTGAAATTAACAAGTAGTCTGAATATATATCATTGAAGATTTTTTACAAACTGAACGAAAAAAAAGGCAAATCAAAAGTAAAGCAATATAGAGCAATACCGTAGAGATTAGATGATTTACGTATGAATAGCTTTGTAGCAAGAAGCTACAAGGAATATTACCAATACTAATAACTTTCAGTTCACTACGACTAAACATACTGAATGTATACAATATCTCTTCAGTTGAATTAAACACTAGTACCAGTCTGTTTTGAAACGATATACACGTGTATCCCAGAGTAACACATCTTTGTGTGCTTACACAGTTCACAAAGGCTTTATGATTTGTGTACATATATTATATACATATATGGCGCCAAATAAATGCCTATTAATATACGAAAAACAGAAGCTTTATTAAGAAAATTACCGTGAAATTAACCATCTACCCTATTCTTAATTTACTGAAGAGTATTGTTTTCACATTTCTGTCGACTACAAATAGCTAAGAAGGCTAAATTTTGAGTGTATAGGGAGCTAAAGTCGACTTTTTAGAGTCTTGAACACTGATTTGTGATGCTGTCGCATTAGCATAGTCTACCTCTGATTGAACAACACCTGAATGTCGGGAGTTTGTGGCAATCAAAAAATCTCAAGTTAGATTTTGTCATGGGTCAACATCATTTGGGAAATAAGTGGAAACTGAGAGGCATTGGACAGTTGTTTTTTTTACAGTTACTAGGGCCGTTCAGGCAGTTACGAAGCCACTAAATTAGTGCTGAACCAGTAGGTTGGGAACAATTCATACACAGCATCCAAAGTCTGCTACTTTATGATATAACGTTGGTCCCATCCGATATAATCAGTAACCAGTTGTCATTATCGGACTATGTTAAGTTCCACCTATCACAGGTGCTTACTGATGAATAACCCAATACAGAGAAAGATAAGACGGTTTTCAGTGGCACTTGGGCTGATGATAGCATGTAATGAAAACTACCGCTAAATCACAATCAATCAATTGAGTAGAAGAAAGACTTACAACAGATGAGTTAGTTAACAGAAAACTCTGAATTTGGGTTACATGGTTTTAAGTACTCACTAGTAAATTATCCAGAAAGTTCGGAACACACCTTGTTGGCGAGTTTAGAACTTTCACCACTTAATATGAAAACTAGACTCGTTGTCAAAGTCATCTAGAAATGTAACCGCTTGGAGCAGTAACACAGTAAGCAACACCACAGACTAAACAAGGGATGTACGCTGGTTACTATATCTAAAGACCAGTCCCCAAGTTTAACCATGTTTTCCAAAAAGCAGTTATTCTCTCATTCACTGGTTCGTGTGACAATTGTCAGCTTACTTTATCTCTGGTGTAGACATGATATCCCACTGTCTATAAAAGGAAGTGTGTGTTGTGCAGCAGTTCACCCTGACATGTGGTCACTGAAAGTGTTAGATATGAAGAGGCTAGCTACCTGCTTGTGTTCTATCCTTCGTGTTAAGCGGTATAATATGCTCAGTAGTATTGAGGTTAGGAGTCGAGTGTTAAGTGAGGAGGGAAATTCAATCAATGAAGTTTTACAGCTTCATTTATTGAGACGGCTGGGACACGTGGTGAGCACTGTCGATGTTAGCTGACATACGGTTAGTTTGAGAAAGGAAAAGGAGTGGTCAAACCAAAACCTGATATATGTGAATGAAGTCATTGAAAGTTGGTTTGCGACACGTAAGATGTCAACTGATTGATCCTACATATATATATATATATATATATATATATATATATATATATATCGTAAGTCAGTATTACAGCTTCACTTCTGTACCACTAATCAAGAAGTTTCAGCAGTGTTGTTGCTGCGTCCATAGTACCGCTTACATCTGATGATGATGACGTACATTTGCATTTTAAAGAAATGCTTTTTTACAACGTCAGCTGTGATGTATTTTGCGCATGGTTTTATGAAGATGACTCTATCAGTTAGCTTCTTTGTTAGTTTCATTTGATTTTCTTTCATTCATGCTTTAGCAACTGTTATTTGAGTGTGTAATTTACTCAATTTAGGCGAAGAAAATTCTCTTCGCGACGATTTCATTTCTGTAGTTGTACAATCGTATTTCCACATAGGGTACACAGCAAGCAATGATAAGTATGGCTGTTGAATATGAATGTTAAAATAGTAACACAGTGAATATTATTCATGAAAATCTTGGTTTTATCTCCTAATGATAATTACTGATTTGATTTAATAACTGTAATAATGATCAGGATAATATTAAGGTAAATTGATCAGAATCATAAGACACTGACACCGATTCCAATGTACAGTGTTCAATCCACATACAACGCCGACAACCGATCAATCAATCAAAACTCACCATGTAATCCACTACAAAAGTTTTAAGACAAACTTTCATTAATTTAGGGACTGAATTGAATTCCGGTTGTGTTTCCAAATATCGTACAGCTCTGGCCTCCTCTTCAGCTAATTTTTGCAAGGCGTATTGCATATAGTTCTGTTTTAATAATAAGAAACAAAAACAACTTGGTAAACTATTTACAATCTGTGTAATTGCTGATACTTAGGAGTTGTGAAGACGCATACCATAGGGAAAACTGTTTTTCTAGCAATATTCACTTATTTGCCTATATATATATATATATATATATATATATATATATATATATAATATATATATATATAAATATATCAGACGATAGTTATGACGTCTGAATAAAAACTACTAAGTAATAGATGACTTCTAACAACTCCATAACGTTCAGGTGATACAGAGTATACGAAATTCTTTTATGTATTTCTCTACCACTAGTGATCAATTGAAGCTTACCAAGTGAAACTCAGTACTGCATCTGTACAGTCTAGTCTCTACTAAACTGTAATGATGCTTAACTCTTATACTGATTTTTTCAGCATTGTGAAAAGTGATCATTCGGCATTTCGGCCTCTAGGTTGATACAACTAAGAAAATATGCCAGACAAACTCAACCGCGGCTTGTGTGAATATGCGCAATGTTGCAGGAAGTAGGACTACACTGAAAAAATGTAGCGTCAATCAAATCACCAAATGAAGTAACAAGCCGTTAATGAGCTGTACAACACAGAAGTAAGAGTTGTCTGACTGCTGTCTCAAAGACAACTGTGATCACCGAAAAGAAAACTGAGTAATACGGCTCATAATCAATTGCAGTGCCCCCCACACGCTCTTCTAAGATGTATCATTGCGTTTCTTATTCTTGTCTCATAAAGTTCTAATACATTTGATTACACAATCATTTTATCATGGTTCTTTTTTGACATTCTGCACTAGAACTTTGGCCACACCCACAGAGAAATATGATTTCACGTTTGTTGAGAGACTTAAGCAAGGTACTCGTGAAACCACGAAGAAATTCACTACAAAGTCGCTGAAAATTGCAACCGGTGAGACGGAGTACTACTTATTGTATTGACACTTTGCCCTTTAGCTTCGTGTGAATTGTGACAAATAGGACGCATTAGTACCAGATTCTCCGGCCCTGAAAGTGCATTTACAGCATTCGTTATTGCTAAAGACAAATATTAACGCAGAATCTAGCAATACAGCGTAGTTGTCAGAAATGTTACGGCACATCTGCACAAGACGATAATCAAGAAAGTAGATAAAATAAAAACTATACAGCGTGTATAAGTAGAAGCAAAAAACCATAGGTGCTACCTTTAACAGAGGGAAAGTATTTTTGCCAGAAGACTGTGTCACAAATGCATTCATGCTTTGTCCGCATCTTACTTGTGATAGCGTATGTCCTTATTTACTATATCCTTTTTTCTTTCATTTGATGGCACTCTACAGTCTTCAGCAGTAGCTTCTACATATTTCCTTCCCTTTTTATTGTCCGCTTGGTGATTTGAGGTGCAGCTTAGCCATAAAAGGTTTACCTTGCAAAATATGAGTCACTGACGGTAGATATTAACTTACGTAAGGTTGTAAGGCCCTAGCGGTTCCGTTGGTTAGCAGATAAGCTATGCATAGCGAGCCATTGCTTCACCGACGAGCAATGCTAAAAGAAATTGAGTTAGTTTCAAAGGGTTACAGGTTTTTAGACGAAAATGTCACACCGATCCATGAAGCCATTATTAACTGTTGATTTAGGCTGCAATGACGATGACATATCTACTCCTCACCAGTTTAAAGATTCTGCGTATGTTAAATTTATGCAGCAACAAGATTTTGGGACTGGGGAAGAATGGAATTCCTTATTAAGTTAGTTTGATACAACAAATAGCGATACAGTATTATTTAATGGATAGTGCGTCGAGTACATGTTATTGCTGTTCATAACCATATTAATGTATTCACACGACCTAATAACTTTGCTGCATAGCCTCTCTGACTTCTGTTTTTATACAACTTCCATATATCCATCCAGTGTAGGTGTTGTGTAATTTCGATTTCACCCACTTGGTGTTGATTCCAAGAAAAGAACAGTGATTAACCTCTCATTCTCTACCTGACTGCATTACTCCTTATCACTTCTACCTTATCCTTACCTATTGTGTGACTGCATACAAGTGAATACATATGGTGATTGAGTTCGTTTCGAGATTTCCTACCTTATCAATGAAACCACTATAGATCTAGCTAAATTCCCAACTTGAGAAAACTGAATAATCCCGATCTATTAGCTTGACTTATGTAATTGACTTCATATCCTTCGGTAAATTATATTATTTTTCCCACAAGGTTCTGTTTATCCTTAAACCGATAAGGTTTGTCTTTGGTTTAGGTGCCAACCAGCTTTCACTTAGAAATGAATTAAGACCCATTAGAAAAATAGTAGTCATACATATAATGAAAATAATACAGAACACATGGAAGTCAAGGCCTCGATAGTACTCCGATATGAGGAAAATCAGAAGCCACATATTAAATTCTTAAGACGTTTCGGATGAGATTGGCACTAAACCGAAGACAAACCTTATCGGTTTAAGGATAAACAGAACCTTGTGGGAAAAATAAATATAATTTACCGAAGGATATGAAGTCAATTACATAAGTCAAGCTAATAGATCGGGATTATTCAGTTTTCTCAAGTTGGGAATTTAGCTAGATCTATAGTGGTTTCATTGATAAGGTAGGAAATCTCGAAACGAACTCAATCACCATATGTATTCACTTGTATGCAGTCACACAATAGGTAAGGATAAGGTAGAAGTGATAAGGAGTAATGCAGTCAGGTAGAGAATGAGAGGTTAATCACTGTTCTTTTCTTGGAATCAACACCAAGTGGGTGAAATCGAAATTACACAACACCTACACTGGATGGATATATGGAAGTTGTATAAAAACAGAAGTCAGAGAGGCTATGCAGCAAAGTTATTAAGTTGTGTGGATTTTTTAAACCAGAGTATACCACCACACATGATCCATGTGCGGTAAATACCTTGGTTGCGTGTAATCAATTTTTTGCTCTAAAAATAGATTGTAATTAAATAACCTTACATAGAGTAATAAAAACGGATTTGTGTTAATCAAGAGTAGTGTTATGCACTAACTGAATTTCAGCTGACAACTATGCACAGGAGTGTAGCAGTACAGGTTACTACAATCCTTGTAGAATACAAAGGTAGAGAATAAATCCAACAGAACTATAAGAGAATGAACGAGTGAAAGAGTAGCAACATGAACAAGTTGTGGGAATTTAATGGATCTGGGAGATAAAAGAGGGTGAACCATAGAGAAATGCTATAAGCAATATCATTAACAATCAAAGCAATTAAGCAAGACAACTGCACACTGGAATCTATTTTATTCACAGTGAAACTAAGGACGGATACTGTAACTTAAAAATCATCAATATATGTATGGCTCTGAAATGATAGTCCAAAAAAACAGATTGAATCACAACCCTATAACAAATCTAAAAGTTAGTAACCATTCCTAGGTCTACACGGTAATTCAAATTCTTCTAAACTTACGCGGATTCCATGTTCCTGTATGTATTCTGCAATACGAATCCTATAAAAACTCTCCGTGCTGTCAATATATGCTTTCTCAAAGTTGTCCACATAAATCCGGAAGGACTTTTCTGACAGGGTAGATAGATTGACTACAACAGAAGAGATAAGTTCAAAGTTAAGAAAAGTGGATGTGACGTCAATAATAGTTGCGATTCACGATTATATGAAAACTCATACAATGCATACACAATAATAGGCATTAAACCTGTGGTAACAAAATATTTCACTTTATAACACCCCAATTTTATACGATAATTCTAATACACGAAAATGAAATAAGCATGTGGCAAAATGAATCCGTCGTATGCACACAACGATGCCAAATAGGAATATCTACATATAAATGAAGAACAAGCTTAAGTCGATATAGTATAGTACTGTTTTATAGACTACCATAATGATTAGAATGCGGCGACTCTCCAACCAGACTTCAAAAAAAGGATTTCCAGCGATAAAAATAAATTGGATCTGTTGCACTGTGAACCTTTGATAAACTAAATTAGCTAGAAAGGAGTTATAGAAACATATAGATCTCATATATGGGGTATATTAGTATTGTAATGCTAACAAGCAGTTGGTTATGTATGAAACTACAAGAAAAGCCAAAAAGTTCCGAAGGTGGAAAACCTACCACATGACTCGCGCACCCCAATGACGAGCTGTGAGTCAATAACCTGGCCACACCTTTCATCCTGTATGAGTTTAATAGCACTGTCTAGAAGTTTCTGCTTGATGGACTCATAAATTGTGCTATTCCAGGTTTCAAGCATTAACTAAAACATGAGTGAGTTAAATGTTTCAAACTACTTTTCTAATGGTACTTTCCTGGAGATGACGTTTGTTTGGACCATTAAGATGTTTGCCAACAAGATAATTTTCTAGTGGACTGAATGGTTGCGGAAGGTATTCGCTCTGTTTGGAGAATTTATTCCACTGAGCTATGTAGGATTTTAAAAGTGACGATTCATCTTGGTTGCGCATCACAAGCTAAGTAAATAATACTTGATTGAGAAATCAATACCTGTTGGACTCTCATGATTGACTCCTTGACGGTTTCAGTCAGTGAGGAGATAATGGCTGGTGTCGCCGACTCTTGCCATGATACGATATAATGTACATCACTATATCACACATATTTACATAAAGTTATCACTTACGCAAACATGTTTTGCCACTCATCTCTGGTGACATTTTCCGTATTAAGAATACGTTTTACAATTGTATTTACTTTCGGCCATCTTTGTTCATAACAATCCTCATGACACTTAGAGAGATGCATATCATCAATCTACGTTGCAAGAACTCACATCAACAGCTAGCATCCCACAAATTCTGTAATGCGCGCTATTAAAGATAGTATCTCAAGGACTTATTAATTCAAGCTTCAAGATTCAAGCGTTCTCCAGTGAAAACAGCAGATCCAATTCTTCTTACCTTCTATTTTTACGGTCCAGGAGGCTAAATCTTATACGATGGAGGTGGTAGTCTGTTTTCTACTTTGACACAGACATTAGTTTTACTATAGTAGCGTCCTATTGCATAGGGAATTCCAATCCTAAAATGAATGGAACGATTTCACCATGCAAAGTGTATTAGGTTGACTTCTACGTATTCTTGTTGTCTGGACGAAAAGTCAACACCAACCATTCTAACAAATAGCTTCGAAGAGTACAAATAGTAACTACCACATTATGCACTCAGGAACATGTTGAATTATATTTTATAGAAGAAGCAGTAGACTGTATTTTCAACGTCGTCAGCTCTGTTAGCTGAATACCACACTTCTGGCGGATATGTAGCCAATGAAGGTACTAAGATAACCTTGCCATTTTGCAAAAAACTTCGCGAGACAAAAATAACTTATCTCAAATCGGCGGTAGACACTTGTTTTCCAATCGAAGTGCTTCCTTCACGGATACTCTAGCCATTACTGTTCTCAACTCTATCAATAAAAAGGTAAAATACCCTCTTTACATGTCAACACTTAAGTTTTCACTCAACTTAGTTTCTAAGAAAGGTTTACTGATTAAGTTTGATTAACTACATTATTCGACGCTATGCCTTCCGCGATTCTATGATATAAGAGGGCATTTTTAAAGTCGATTTAATCTGACTATTCACACTCAGGCGGTGATCATTTGTCTCTACTGCAGGAGGCTGAATAAAAGTGTTGTGATGCAAAGACAGTAAGTGGAAGCGGTGGCTGCGTTTCAGTGTTTAAATTTTCTCTCAAAAAGGTGACATCCTGAAACAACTACCTAAATCCTTGGTTTGGTGGATGTGGAGAAGTCATGACTGCCACTTGAATCAGAGAGGAGTATTAAGTCTATAAAGAAAAATTAGGAGACTAGAAAAGGACTTAACTGGCGTATTTCAATCACGTGTATGATAATGAATCCGCTTAAGTAAATCTATTAAGTGTAAGCTAATCCTAACTTACTGAAGTGATGCTAAATTTCCGTTATCTGCAGGATGTTTATTAATCTAGGCCCATAACCACGGGACAATAAGTGGGAAAAATAAACTAGTAGTAATGTAGCAAGAAAACCAGTACCTTGAGAGTGACCGCCAATTTTCAGTTGAGGTCCTGAACAAGGCATAATAAGAGTGCAAGTCCTTGTGCACACAAAGTTTTTCAGGTCTGCATGTTAATGAGATCGAGTTAATTAACTGCCTCCAGCCTCTCTGTGTGGAAACGGTTGTAGAATTTGAGGATATAGACCACATATCATGGCACATCATCAAGAAAAGTACCATGGCATTTCTGGAAAACAAGAACTTTTTATCCAGAGCACATCATGGCTTCTGAAAAAACTTCTTATGCCTGTCAAATCCTTTCAATTCAAGAGAAAGCTGGGCCAATTTAAGTAACAACTCAAGACCTGTTGACGTCGTCCTCATAGATTTCAGCAAAGCCTTCGATAAAGTTCTCAACAAAAGACTACTCACGAAGTTGGAAAGTATTGGCATCAAAGGCAGCTTACCAAACTGGATTAGGGAATTCTCATCGATGGGAGGCAGATGGTCAGGATCAGCTCGAAATTCTCCTCCTGCTCAACAATACCTAGCGAAGTGCCACAGTGCAGGGTATTCGGCTCTCTCCTATTCATTTTGTATATCAGTTAGTTGTCTCTGCTCACCAATTCCGTTATGCTCCTATATGCAGATAACTTAAAATCTGAGGAGAGCTGAAGGGTGACAGTAATACTCTTACTATGCAAGAAGACCTCAGCAAATTGTTACAGTTGTCCAGAGAATGAATGCTCCCGATCAACGTAGCAAAATATGCAACCATGCTCACTGGACACGCAATCATCAGTCCCTACGAACCGGAAGGAATGAAACTCCATTAGTTCAGACTCTGTTCAATTTAGATGTCATAGTAAGTCGTGACTTAAACACAGCAGAATACAGTCGCGCGGTGGCAGCATGTGGTTTTAAATCCTTATAAGCAATTTGCAGCGCCTTTACTAGAACCACCGGCGATATGTTCACCTCCTTATATACAACTCTGTTGAGGACAAGAGTGGAAAACCGTATCCAGGTAGCCATTCGTTGCCCTAGATGGGACTCACACCTTCTAGAAAGGGTTCAAAGAAAGGTAACATGTATGATTCTTGGTACGGTTAATTTATTGTACTAAGAAAGATTAGACTATATTATCATATCGTAGGCAGTGTATCAATGTAGATGAAGATTGAGCGATCAATTCACGGTTGTTTGCCCAAAACCCAACTATATATTTTGGCGGGAGTCATCGATACTGCAGTCATCGTTTCATCGCTCGCTGTTCGCTGGAAGGCAGATAAAAACCATCAGAAATATTATTGCGATTTATTGTTATGACATCTATCCTTAGACTTTGTGTACAATAACCTAATGGTTGGCTATGTATTGGTGCAAGAATAAACGATTCATGAGTCACCAATCCGTGTTCTGGTTTTTTGCGTTGGTAATTACGCAGAGTTCCTGAAAGTCTTCCAAGGACAGTGTGAAAGTCCAGTGTAGTTAGACGTGGGCATTGACACAGGGCGTAAATTTTATCACGGCGTTTAAAACCTTAAATAATGACTACGAGCCTGATCTACTCTCTCTTTTCCTTCCCACCAGATCAAAACTCCTAAGAGGATATGGCACGCGAATTCAAAAGCCAAGGAGAAAACATATGGCCGTGGGGTTAGTATTTCACACAAGGTCATGAACTCCAAAAGCCGACCCCCAGAAGAAGTGGTGTCTGCAACCTCATTCAACTTATTCAAGAAGGGTTCGAACAAGCACAGACATTTACTAGGGAAGGATTAATGTAGGAGGTAAGTCTTTTATCCCCGATCAACAAATGTGAATTTCAGTGTGGGGCTGGAGATAACAAGTTGTCTCTCCCCTTCTTTTCTGGGACTGGAAATAGGGTTAAGGCAGCACATTCTCTTCGTTCCCTGTAAAAATATTTGCTAACATATATCCAGAAATAAAATGGAAGAACTATGTCAATGGACGTGAACACTGAACGTTTGTTTTGGGAACTGGTAGCCATTGGTGGGCAACTCGAAGGCGCGAATGGTTCGATAGTGTACAAGGTCGATGAGGACGAACAAAAACCAATAATAGTACACAATAATTTTGTAATAATAATAATAATAGTATATTCTCATTTTGTACATGAAGGACGCCAGTTTACAGGCATCATCAATATGATAAATTACATATACGATTAGCAATCATACTTAATAATAATGTTTTAATAAAATACACATTTTTCCTACCTGTGTAGGACACACCAAATGTACAGGCATGGATAAGCATTATATAAATTTCATAAATTTGGTTTATGGTTAAATTACATGGTTGATGACGTTTTTGTCTTTGGTTTGTGGGAATAATATGATAACCATTTGTTTATAGACTTGTTCTGTTCTCCGCTTCAATTACCAAACAATATAACTTCCTTCTTCCAATACTGGTGTTTTGGAGTTAACGTCGAAGAAAGTACATAGTATTTATCGGTTCGGAGCGTCTTCGTAACAATAGGAACTTAGGGATAAGTTCGTTGACAAACTACTTAGAGAATCACTGGCCACTTCTGACTTATTTACATGATATATTGTCTATGGGCACTGAAGGCACGAACTAACCATTAACGATACCTAGCACTGACCCAGAGAAGTTAATTCTTGCTCCTCTTTCACTGACGGGTAAATAAACTTCCCCGAAGTAGCCCTCTATCAAAATTAATCTCATTTCGTCGGACAATTCTCAGTCCCAATGGGGATTTCCTTTATTACTACAAAAAACGAATTGTGAAAATGCTGTGGTGTGCTGTGCAAGGTTTCATTTATAAATCCAAATTCCTATTCGGTAATTGTGAATTCTTAATCCCATTTTGTGCTAGAAGGGAACCCAGATGGAGTTTCCGTGCCTTACTTTCTGGAAATCTGATTTTTGGATGTTCTCGGGTATCGGAAAGCGTGTTTGGTTATTCCGAAGGAGCTGACAACTACGAAAAACCTCACCAGCTACCATCAACAAGAAGCTTCGGACTAATTTTACTGGTATTGTTAAAATATGCGGCATATAAATGTGACTTTAAACATCTATTTTAGCAATAATGCTAAGCAGAGGTGATGTTTCCGACAAATTTAATAATTGAATGAGTCACTGTGTGTGAATTCATATGTAGACAGCCTAGCTGTAAAAATATTTGGTTCCAGTCAATCTAGGAGTCGCTCAACATATAAAATGTCGTGCAATATTTTTTTGATAAAACTTACAGTGGTGAAACTGACAGTCAATGGCGTGTCCCCATTCAGGAAATGTCACTGAAAATAAGTCTACAGCGAATAAGAATATGCCGATTTCTTGTTTTGACCTCTCCTCGGAGTGGTATGGAGGTGTATGGCCACTTGTATTCAGATTGGAAAAGTAATTCGTTAAGTGATTATCTCAAACTCAGCGTTTCGACAGCTAGAAAAATCAAACGCGATGATGAAAATGGCCACTAGATTCACGACAGCTGATCTTTTAAAAAACAGAATGCACTATCTGCAATCAAACAATAATAGGAAAAGCGTTCGGACAAGAGTAACCCTTTTTCAATCTCATGTGCACAGTAAATTTTCTTAACAACAAAGCGAATATTTCCAAATATTTGCCATTAGAAATGAGAATTTTAGATAACAAATTACGTTAGTGGATTAGAAGCTAAAACGAGATTAAATAAGCAAGTTGAGTGACGTAATCCAATCGACACGGTTGAGTAGAGCTCGAATAAAGTTAAAACTGAACGAAAATCAAGTTAACAACAGTGGTTGTAAGGGATAGATATATA